TTAATATCACCTCTTCCTATGATATCAAGAGATTTTCCATCTCGCAAGGTAGACCTTCCCAAACTTTCCGAAACATAGTTAGATAATAGTTCTAAGGAAGGTGTAGTATGAAATGACGCACTCGAGTCCATAATCCATGAGTCAATAGAATTATCTAAACTACATAACAGTGCATCTTCAACTTCATCGGTTCGTCGCATTTGCTCGATTGATCATCATCTTGCTTCTTGTTGTTGTTGTTGTCCTTCTTTGGAGCCCTACACTCGATTTGAAAAGTGGCCCTTTTTCCGACAATTCCAACAAGTGATATCATTCCGGACTTTTGCTTGTGATCTCCCTCCGGATTTTGATCTCGCCTCGGCCTTGATTACGACCTTTCGGCGACTTCTTCCTCTAGTTTCAGCACTCAATGCTCGAACTCGAATTAGAACTCGAAAGATTCTATCGAATTTTTCCTGCGAACATCTTCGCTTAAGATCAAGTCACGGATGTTATCAAGCTTCAACTTGTTATTGCTTGCGTAATTACTAACTCGCAGATAACAGTTGCACCCCAACTTTCCTGAGAGATGATAATAAAATTAATGCTTTCACCTCATCATCAAATATTATCTCGCACTGATGTCAACTGCGCAATAATTGCATTAAATTCACTAATATGATTAGTAATCGAGTTACCTTCACCCATTTTGAGGTTGACTAGCCTGCGAATCAAATGCACTTTATTGGTCTGCAGAGGGCTTCTCATACATATTTGACAACGCCTGCATCAAATCTACGGTTGTCTTCTCGTTCATGATGTTGAACGCAACATTCTTGGCTAATGTCAGTCGGATCACACCAAGCGTCTGCCGATCTAACAACTCCCATTCTGATCGCTCCATGTCGGTTGGCTTCGCCTGTCAAGGGTAGATACAACTTCTTCTCGATACAGTATAATCTTCCATCTCGCATCTTCCGGAACCCGAAGTCACCGCCATCGAACTTCTCGATCCTCACCTTTCCTTCTTCCAATGCCATTGCTCTCACTCGCTTCAAGAAAGCTCCCACTGCTTCTCTAAACCGAGATTCCCAAGAAAAAAGACCAAATCTTTCTCGATGTGGAAGATCGGACAAAGCTGCAACCACAGAGCATACTAAGAAAATTGGCTCTTGATACCAATTGTTAGGAACAAGACAATAATAAAGGAAAGAATAAAGGAGAGAAAAATAAACGACACAAGAATTTTAACGTGGTTCGGCTAAAATATGTATGCCTACGTCCACGACTACACTAGGAAGTATTTTATTTCGTGTGTATCTCAAACTTTACATAGGGTTGCTTATATAACAAAATAGAGAACCTCATCTCACAATTCTAATCGATGTGGGACTAAATCAAACACCATAATACTAACAAATTTAACATTATTTTTATAAATATACAATATCTTTGAATCATTGTTAAAAGAGATGTAGTGGAAAATTAAAAAAAATCAACAATGAATGATTGTAAATGAATCAATATTGAAAGTATGAACATTTGATATCCATTCCCATTAGAATCGATAAAAGTTAGCACTTTTAATATAAGTTCTTTTACAATTGATGTAGATAATTAATTTTATTTTTTAAATATTTATTATTTTGTGATATTTTTCATAGTCTATAAAAATAAACATAAAAATTATTAAAAATACAAAATAGTCCCAAATAATATATAATTTTAAATTCTAATAATTCAAAAATAAATATTTAAATAATAATTATAATTGAATGACAACACAAGGATGATGACAAAACTATGATGGAGGATTTAACTACAACAAAGTATGAGTATCCATTACAGAGGACAATAAATGGTGAATATGCAACGGAGAACAATAACATGTGAATTTAGCAGATGAAGTGATGAAAGGCGAGAGAATGTAACGAAATGTGATGGAGGACACAATAAAAGGTACGAGGATGCAATGAGTTACAAGCATGTGGCAACGATGAAGGACATGATGAAGGATGCAATGAGGGCTACAAGCATGTGACAAAGGGTGTGAGGACGTGACAAAGATCATAAGAATGCAATGGAAGACATGATGGAGGTTATAAAGACAAGGTGTGTGGTAAACACGAAAGAAACATCATGAAGGGTATGATGAACAAGACAAAGGACACGAGGATGTAACGGAGGCCGAGATGGAGATATTGTGGAGGACAACATGGAGATGCGGTGAAAGATACGGTAGAAGATGTAGTGCATGTTGAGGATGCGACTAAGGATGCAATGAGATTGAGAATGCAATGGAGTTGAGGATGCAATGAAAGTTGAGAGTGCCATAAAGGGCAAGTACAAGAAGAAGAAAAATGTTTCATAGAAGAGATAAATATTTAGGATTTAAGGCGTAAAAGAGAAAAATGTTTTATAAAAAAGAAGAAGTGTTTCACAGAATTATAAATAACTTTTTATCTTGGTTCTATTATAATTGATATAAAAAACCATATTTAATATCGGTTCATTCAATTTTAAATATGACTTTTTACGTCAATTATAAAATAACTCACATAGAAAATTTATTTCTAATTACAATTTTGTCATAATCTCTTTTTCTATCTCGGTTTATTTATAATCCATGTTAAATGAAATTGTTAAAAACTATTTTATTGCAGTGATAGGAATTTCACATACGTAGGAGATAGTTGAGGTGTGGTATTGTGAAAATTAACTGGTTTTAGAACCGTGGTTAATTAATGGGTTTCCAAACCCCAGTTATAATATGAATAATTTTGCATGGGGTTTCAGAATTGAAGATAAGGAGTTTAACTTAACGATAATTATAACCACTGGTAGCATAAACAATAATCTTCGTTATTAAAACCATTTTTTTTATAGTTTGTTAGAAATCTGGAGGGGAAATATACTGGTTAATTAGATCAATGCACAATGAACATGATAGATTACACTTAATTCAAAAATAAATTATCTTTAATATTTTTTTTACTCAAATACAATATCAAGATTTACATAATACATAACTAAAATATATCTAATATTCAAATTCATGAATAGTAAAATTCTAGTAATTATTATCAAACACAAAATGCAATCATTGACATGCGTTAAAAATTTCAGTTGAAAACTTCATTACTAAACAATAATAAAAAAATAGGAAAAATTTCACTGACTTCCATAAAGTCAAAAGGTTTTCAAATATAAAAGGTAAATATTTTTTATAAATAAAAAATAAATTATCTAATATAATGATAATGATTATTAAATATTTCAAATAAGGCTAATTCCGTGGATAAAAAAGAATGACACCACACACTCTAATTTAAAATAAATATTTATCTTCATTATGCTATTAATAAAGTAACAATTAAACTTTTTAATTTATTTATATTTGTAATAAAATCATATATCATAAATATATTGGATAGTTAAATTAAATTTGGAATTATATATTGTGATAAAACACTATTTTTTTTAACCTTTTAAACTTTTTTACTTAGTAAGCATTATTTACAAAGTATTTCTTTGAAAACTGATTTTCCAGCAACACACATGCCAGTGATGTGGACGTTTTGATTAAAACTGTAGATATTGAGATGGAAAAGAACGGAGAAATTAATATGGTCGTGGACCTTATAAGCTATAAGGTAACTCTCAACCTCATAGTAACCCTCTCATGAGTCACAAGCCACAAAAGATGCACACAGATTCAGATTTAAGGGTAGGGAGACCCTACAAAGGATGGCAACATCTGAATCCAGCCTAATACTTCCAACATGGTCTTACTTCTTCTGACAGGTCAAAAGACCAAGAGAAAGGAGGGTACGGGAAACGTTGACTCTGCTCCTCAGAGTCATGTACTTGCAAGCTAAGTTCTGAATCTCATGGAAACAAACACCAGATTGAAGATTTTGTCTCCTACACTTTCTGCCACTGCCCTTATTTTCCACGAACTCACAAGCTCGTGTTCATCATGGAGTGAGTGAAAGTGCATGCAAATTAGATAAGTCAAACCATTGCCACCACCAATCCTAAACCACATGCAATTTGTATGTAATGTAATTGACCTTAGAATGGTTTCCAACTTGTCCATACGTGAATTTCTGTGGTACAATGCAGACAAGAATGCAGTTAATGTAAACTAATTAGCCTGTACGAAATACTGTTGTATATTAAAAGAGAAACATTAAGAAAAGATATTACTGATGGAGGAAAAAAAAAAATGAATGTACAAGTGTGGTAAAGTTTGTCAGATAAGTAATCTTATTCTTTAAAAATATTACACACGGATACTCTATATTAAAAAAAAACAAAAGTAAAAAAAAAAAAAAACAGTACTTTTTTCTCATTATAATTCTGTACGTTAATTAAATTTTCACCACTTTTCCTTAATATATATATTATGTTGTATACATTTGTTGTCTGTGATTTCATAATATATTTATTTAACTCTTTTTTCTTTCAAAAACTAAAACAAGTTTCTAGTAATTGTATCATAAATTTCACATAATTTAAATTTTTATGAATATGTTATCTAATACTGAATGTTTACATATTCTTGAATAAGTTAAAAATGAGTTATTATGATAAATTTCTAAATAGCTTTTGAAATTGTATTAAATTTTGTATACATAACCTATTGATAAGAATATGAATTCAATTGCTAGATTAATTAAATTTCATTCTATAAATAGAAAGAAGAAATAATAGGAGCCCGTGACAAGTGTAAAACTGATGTTAAAAAGTATAACAGAAAGAGAATGAAAAAAATAAAATACAACCAAAGTTAAAAGATATCGTAGTTTGCCTTTGATACAATGTGCTACTTTTAGGAGAGACTAGCCATGTCACGACCTATATAAATCATCTTGTTCAGTCGTCCTTGCGACAATGGCAATATTGAAAGCTCTGGTGTAAAATCAATATCGGTAACTATAGGAATCAAAAGTGATTCTTGTACAAATACAGCACCTACACTACCACACAACATATATAATAGCAACATATAATTGTTATCACATGCTAGTGTTTGCATGGATAAAATTGAATATCTGCTGAACCGAACTGGCTATATCTTCTGCGGTGAACCTTGAATCACTAGCCACCTACATAGACATTTGATAAATCAAGTAAACACAAGGATCTCAAAGAATTTTCAGAGATTTTAAATTTATGATATATATGCTTTAGGGCTTAAATATAACTTCTCCTATGGGCTAATGGACAGTGATCATGTAAAAGTAAAAGAAGAGGGTTGTGTAATAAATTTCAAACATTAGGTTATATTAATTTTAATGATGAGTGATCTATGCAGCAGCTGATTCAGTCTAGTGAGAAAATATTATGGTTAAGGGGCGCATAATTTATTAAGGCGATCCATGTATACCTTGACATTGAACGAATAAAGAACTGTTTGTTCAATGGTGGTGATGTTGGTGTGAAGGATGATTAGTTGCAGATCTTCAAGTGCAGCAATGGTTTTGATCAACTGTCCTGGCCTCCTCCTTGATAGGATTTTGATCATGGCGTCAAATCCTAGAAGCTTCACTTCAACATCAGCCAAACAAGACTTGCTCTCCGCGGTTTCTTCACGAAGTCCAGTCTCCAACTCCACAAGCTTTATCTGCTCATTTGGAATTGGCAGAGCTGGAAAGAAAGGAGGTTGTTGTTGTGCAAGGGAGGAATCCCCAACTTGTCTTGCTTGAGCTTCTCCAAGTAGCCTCCTCCTCTTTTGTGACTCCAAACACTGAAGAAGTTGCTCCAGTTCCCTCACAAACTCTATAGCTCCCCCAATTATAGAAGCTTGATCACCCTACGCATAAACACATGCATGAGTAAAAGAAAAAAATAGACTTTTTGTAAAATGAGTTATGGTACAGCTAGTTTTCGAGTCACTATAGAATGAGTTTGGATATAGAAAGATAAAGATTGAGAACAGTTTCTGAGTAACAATACCAAAATCCTTAAGTTTGAGTCAATAGGTTTCTTGACAAATATTTTTTAGTTTCTTAATTTGAGTTCATGAAATGAAAGGATGTTTCCCTTTGTTAGTCTTCTAGCTAAAAACTATGATTTGAATGAAATGCAAATATAGTGATTTGAATTGAATGCTTAGTGTTGAGTACCCTTTGGACGTATGAACCAGGCATGAGGGATCTAAGCACGCGAAGATGCTCATTCATTTGCTTCCTACGATTCCTCTCAACTGCTATGTGAGTCATGCGCTGGCTCTCAACCTCTTCACTTGTCTTAACAGTTCTTGGTCTCTTTCTCTTGTTCTTGTTTTCCTGCACTGCTGCATTCTTCTGAGTCTCGTCCTGACCAAGAAGCCGCATCTGCACGGAATTGTTGTCATCAGAAATTCGAGTCTCTTCATCTTCTCTCATCATCATTCCCTCTTCACCAACCCTTGACTTGTCCTCCAAATCCGACAAGTTGAACCTCTCATTATGGTTTTCTGCTTCACCATCAGGGTCATCATTCACCATCAGATTTTGCTCCTCCTCCATCTTGTCGTTTAACACGGGAAACTTGAGAAAGTAAACTGGATCTATCCCAGATTCTTCACAGCTTTTTGTTTGATTCAAAGCCAACTTAGGTCCAAAATCTGCAAACTGCATCACATCTGCAAAACTCAATTTATCATAGGATGTCGTGCCATTGCTAGAACCGCCATAAAAACCATGGGGTGGAGGTGGTGGTGTTTGAGGCATGTAATCCACCATTGATCCACTGTTGTTTTCATCACCAGAAGCTTGGAACTTCATCATGAGGTGCTGTTGATGCTGATTTGGTGGATAAAGATGGTGTTGGTGGTGATCTAGAGAGTAGTCAAGTGTGTTGAAGCTTGGAGGCATGGATATTGGCGCCTGCAGTGATGAAGATTCAACAAAATTGGAGCAAAACAACATTTGGTGATGATAAGAGAGGGTGAAAAGATCTGACATGAAAAGCTTTAATGGAGCCAAAAACATAAAAGAGCCACGGAAGAGAGAGAGATATATGTCTGTACCGAATAGTTGTGATCTTTCTCCATTCCTATTAGCTTATAAAGAAGATGACTTTAATCGAAGAGAAACCCTAATTCACCTTACTTCATGTAAAGACAAAACCCCACAACGAACTTTCTTCAGGGCCCTCCACCTGCATCATTTGGCATGTCCACTAATTAAGTATTATAGTACATATATCATGTTAAAAGATGACTAGTGCATGTGTATAAATATAAATTACAGTTTACTTTTCATGCATATATATATATATATATATATATATATATATATATATGAGAGAGAGAGAGAGAGAGAGAGAGAGAGAATAATCAAGCAAATAATGAAACCTGTTTAGAGAGAGGGAATCGAGAATGGGAGGAGACAAGGGAGAAGAAAGTAAGTGGGGTCTGAAGGACCTGTGTTGAACAGAATCATGAAAGGGTGTGTGCCCCACGAGTAGACCACCAGAAGAGGACGATGGAAACGAAATGGGTACGTTGTTGTTATTGAAGATGGTGATGATTTTTTGTGTGCATATATAAGGTGTGGGGGCGCTGAGGGTGCGTTTGACTTCTTAGAGGTCACAGAAAAGGACAGAGAGAGAGCCTAAGAGAGATTAAATTTGCACCTCACACATTCACCACTTTTATTAATGCTTTTCACAGGCCACCAACGCTCTCTGCTTACTTTGCCGCCATCGTTCATGAGGTAACTATGAAGCTCTACACCTTTTTATATCTACATTTTCAACTTTGAATCTTTCCATTATGCTCGCATTCACTTTCATCTTTTTATTTTCTTTCTCTTGTGGTTTGGTTTTTGAGGTTTGGTGGTGTATGACTCACATGGTCACGTGGAGATTTTCTCCAAAATGGACACACATTCGTGTTTATTTATTATTATTTTCAACCGGGCTTTGTACGTAAGATTGTATACCAGTTTTTCAAGTTTGGGTTAATGAAATTTAATCCTCAAACTCCACTTATTGATGTAAAAAACCAAGTTCAAATTTGGTTTGTTTAATTCATTTTATAGCTTATTTTTTGTTTTAGTGATATTTTCTAATGATTTTTAACTTTATTAGTATTTAATAACTATTTCAATCCTAGATAATTATGTACAAAAATGTGGTTGTGAATTCTAAAATATTACATTTTCATAATTCAGTAAATAAAATTGTTCATAACTTATTGCCTACTAAAAAAACTTCAAACTCAATTTAATTTTCTCAATAAAGTTTAATCTGCATAATTTCATAATCATTGTATAAATATAAAGACTAATAAAATCTCTATTAATTCTTAATAATTATATATATATATATATATATATATATATATATATATATAATTTTACACATACTTAGACTTTGATTTTATACCTTTAATTCATCATTAAACAATATAGGCCATAACTACTTTCTGTTTTCAACTTTAGAAGCCATTCAAGCTCTTAAGTACAGAAACTTATTTATTAAAATTAAATCTTTACAAAATTGTTATTGATGGTGTTTATATATATATATATATATATATATATATATATATATATATAATATTACAAGAAAAATATTATAAAATAAATTATTAATCTCTAAAATGATAAAAAAATAGTCACCAATTCAATTAAAAAGTAATTCAGAATTTTATTTCATAACTAATATTGAAAACTAATTAATATTTTGATTAAAAAATATATAAAAATTAATTTACTGACTAATTACATACAAATCAACATATTATATAATCAGTTCATCAATTATATAAAAAACAGTTTAATGATTAATTATATAGAAACTAATTAAGTCAAATAATTATAAAGTATATTCATAGAATTTATTTATATATAATTGGACATTATTGAGTTAGTTTTTATATAATTGATTTTTGTATCACCTTTTTATTAAAATGCAAATTAGTCTCTACCATTGATTGTTATTGCTCCAAAATTAGATTCTGAATTAATTATAATTGAATTGTAAACTAATTTTATTATTTTAAAGACTAATAATTTAGTTTCTAAACTATTTTTTTCTTGTGATATATTTTATATGTATATTTTATTTCGTACGCTTATTTTGTTTTATACTCTTAATTGATTTTATTTCTTTAATTTATGGGTTAAAAATGTGTTTGATTCTATTTTAAAATTATTAATTAATCTTTTATTTTAACCTATAAAAATATTATTTTAATTATTTTTCATAATTAAATTTAATATTTAATGATGATTTTTTTAAACTTAAGATAAAAGAATTAAATATGATTTTAGTTTTTTTTATATCTAAATTTTATTTTCTATTTTAGAATTAGTAGTAACTCTTATTTTACATGTAAGTACATTTTGTTTTATAAGCTTAAACATATGTTTAATTCATCTTCTACATAAATTTATATAAGTCACAACTATTTTAAGATGATTCTCAACATAACCTACTCTATTTTTTAATTAAAAGATCATTCAATTAGATGTTTAGAAAATTTGGAGTGTTAATTCAACTTTTTCCTTGGAATTTTGAAAATTAAATATATAATATACACCGCAGTTTTTTTTATTTTTGAGGATGAATAAATTTGTCTTTAATAAAATTAGTGAATGCAATATTACATTAGGGTGTCAAAATAGGCCGTATAACCTATAAATAAAATAAAACTAGACTTTTAAAATACAATGGCTTAAATAAGAACTGACAAAAAAAAAAATCTTCATTAGAATGAAGTTTAGGTTAACTCGCATGCATAGATTGATACATGTAATAATATAATTTCATTATCAAAAATTAGAAATTCGTTGTTACTCAAAATTTTTTCTTTCATAAGTTAATACTGTATAAGTTATTAGTTATTGTATCTCAATCTTATATTATCTTTTGAATATACGAAGGGATTTAATTAAAAAGTAGGTTTAATCTCCTAACTTATTTTAAAATATATCATTTTTCTTATTTAAAAATTGATTTAAATGTTGGAGTTATCTTTTATAAATAGTTTATATTCTTTTTTAAAGGAAGAAACTTTTAAGTAGAAACTCAAAATCCGACCTACTTACTTCGTATTATCGATGTTGGATCAATCAATTAACGTGGTTATTTAAACACCACAAAAGCCTAAATATAAAATTCGTTTATTCATTTTCTTCGTTGTAGTTGTTAAATTTGATATTCCATCCTTCTTTCACATATTCAGGAACCAGAACACACTGGAAGCATTCATCCCTTCTCGCCAAAGTCTTTTCTTGTGACGTCACGCGTCTGTGTGAATCTTTTCCTAGTCCTTTGTATACGTCTTCACACTTTTCCAAATTATTTACATTTTTTTTTTATTTTGCATCGTGAATAAACTTTTTTTTTTTAATTTATTCTTGTAGCACTTGATATATAAATTATGACAACTTAAAGAAGAAATTACTGTTTCAATCAGTGATTCATCTATCGATAATCGTAATTTTAATGTGTCTAGTAATAATACTCGAGATAATTTTGAACAAATAGTGAAGAGCGTAAGAAAATAAACCAGTTGAACGGATAATTGAAAGAATTGTGAAAGATTGAATACTGGTAAATGAATTTTAGGCACCAATTATCTAAAAAGGCAAATTTTAGAAATGGAGTTTATTTATAAAACACTAAGATGTAAGTCTTATCTTGAATAATAAGCACTAGTGCAGAAAAGAGCTTTTACATCACCCAATTGTCGTCGCATGTAAAAATATTCGACGTAAATAAAACGCGGTGACAATTTTGTAAATAAGGGACAAAACTTTTACGTCGCACACCCCAGCACGCGACGTAAAAAGTGATAGGTTTTTACGTCGCGCCTCCCAGCACGCGACGTAAAAGGCCTCCTTTTACGTCGCGCCACCCAGGTGCGATGTAAAAGAGGGCTTTTTACGTCGCGTGCTGGGATGCGCGACGTAAAAAGTCTCTTTTATTCCCTCCCTGCCTCACTCCCTCGTCTCGCGCAACCAGGGTTTTTGAGAACGACGACGAGAACGACGACAACACCTACCTCTGCACACCATTTTCTATCAGTTTTACAGTGAAAAACATCTACATTGTGTGTCATTTGACGAACTTGATATTTCTCCCCGATTGGATTCGAGTTTGAAATCATTTTTCGTCTACACTCGAGGTTAGTGTTCTATGTCATTGCTATATGTTTACATTGAATCCGTGATTGTTTTTAGGGATCTCAATCACGTTATAGTATGAATGTCTCCACTGGATTGTTATTGGAATATAATTATTTGTTTATTTGTTTGAGTGCATTCGGTTTACACACTCCATTGTTGTTGGAACGTGTTTTGTTGTTTGTATATTAATTTCTTTTTACATATAATTTTAAATCTCTAGGAGTGAGTACGAAATATGAATCGAAGTTGGATGAATGCACGTCGTATTAGTGAAGAGTACGAAAAGGGAGTTGAGAAATTTTTGAAATTTGCTAGTGAAAATGGAAAAGCTATGAAAGGGACATATTATTGTCCATGTGTTCGTTGTTTGAATCAAATTCGTCATAAACTTGAGGATATACGTGATCACTTGTTTGTTTATGGTATTATTAAGAGTTATACAATATGGACATGACATGGAGAAATATTAGACATCCCAACTCGTGTCAACTACGGACAATTTTGATGAAGGGAGGGATGATAATCTAGAGGATATGATACGTGATATTGGTGAAGAAAATTTTATGAAAGCACATCTATATGATTCTTTGAAATCGATTTTGCGCAACAATTGTACATAGGATGTAGTTTTACAAGATTATCAGCGACTTTAAAATTGTTTACTTTAAAAGCAAGAAATGGATGGATCGATAAAAGTTTCACCGAATTATTGGAGTTGTTGAAGGAGATGCTTCCTGAAGATAATACATTACCTATTCGTAACTATGAGGCAAAGAAGATATTATGTCTAATGGGTTTAGAGTACAAGAAAATACATGCATGTCCTAATGATTGTATATTGTACAGAAATGATTTTGCTAAATTAAAGATGTGTCCGACATGTGGTTTGTCGAGGTTCAAAAACAAAGTTGAGGAAAGTAGTGGTGAGGAAGAACTAGATGGTCCCCCTGCTAAGGTGTTATGGTATTTGCCAATTATACCTAGGTTTAAAAGATTATTTGCCATAAAAGAAGATGCAAGAAACTTGACATGGCATGCAAATGGTAGAAAATGTGACAATCTTCTTCGACATCCAGTGATTCTCCACAATGGAAAAGGATTGATGAAACCTTTCCAGAATTTGGTGCAGAGCCAAGAAATTTGAGAATTGGATTAGCTACAGATGGGATGAATCCTTATGGAAATTTAAGTAGTAACACATAGTTCATGGCCAATTATGTTGATCATTTACAATTTGCCTCCTTGGTTATGCATGAAGAGAAAATATATGATGTTATCTATGATGATTTCGGGACCTCGACAACCAGGAAATGACATAGATGTATATCTTAGTCCTTTAATTGATGATTTGAAGATGTTGTGGGAAACGAGAGTGGATGTATTTGATTCATATCACGAAGTGAATTTCGAGTTGCGTGCAATGTTATTTTGTACTATAAATGATTTTCCAAAGCATATGGTAATTTGAGCGGTTATAGTGTGAAAGGTCATTTAGCGTGTCCTTTATGTCAAGAAGACACAAGTTATATCCAATTGAAACATGGACAAAAAACTGCGTACAATAGGCATAGAAA